CCCTCTCTCTCTCTCTCTCTCCCTCTCTCTCTCTCTCCCTCCCTCCCCCCCCATTTTTTTTTTAGTGTTTACAATGGTCACAATATTATCAGTCTTCTGGGGTTATCCTCAAAATGCGCATCTAGTACAAGGTAAAGATTTGCAACTGTAAGTCACCATTATCACATCAAGGTGCTTCATAATCTAGCATCATGACCTCTCCAAACACATCTGACCACCATTCCATGCTCTAGTAACCCAAGTACTGGCTTCCTGAAGCCCTGTTACGTTCCAGATAATTGGATGGAACTGGAAACTGTAATACTAAGTGAAGTAACACAGGCTCGAAAAAAACAACGTATGTTCTCCCTCATATGTGGATCCTAGCACCAAATCCTTATAAGTATGTAACCAGACATAACTACAGGAACCAGGATAGTGAAAAGGAACCAGGGAGGTAAAGGAAAAGAAAGAATCTGAAAGAGAAGAACAGTAGGAAACAGGTGTTAATGGGGGAGACATGGATAAAAATGCGGTTATTTTAAGGAGGGAGGGGAAGAGTTATACAAGGAACCTAGGGGATAAAGGGAAAGGAGCTCAAGAGAGGTGGGGTGGGACCACAGGAGAAGGGTATTACTAAGGGAGAAATGGGAAAAATTGGAGCATTTTAAATGGGGAAACCATGGTGGAAGGGTTAGACAATGAGAGAGATAAATAACGCCTAGCTAGTTTTTAAAAAACCAGAGGGAACCACATTAATCAAACAACCTACTTACAAATTGTACATACAACTAGATCAAGGAATATAATATCTGTCTAGACAAGGTTTATCTGAGAATGTTTGGTCCTTGCCCAAGCTTTATCTACACAGCACATGGCAATTAAAGCACCAGACTGGTGGAACTAACCTTCTTGGATGTTTAACAGCCATACTTTGAAGCCTATACTAATTTGGTGAGAGGGACATAAAGGACAGTTTTTTCTCCTTACCCTCCTAGGTCGACTAAGTTCCAGGGGACTATGAGCATCTCTCAAAATGTCCTGCAACTGTGATGAGTCACCTGTCCTCTTGATCAAGGAGACCACAGAGACCCCACCAAATGGGCTTGAACCAGTATCCAGTCTACAAAGAGGAGGGTCAACACAGAGGAATCATTTCCTCCATGCTTCCGAGTGAAGTCAGCCACGGTCAAGCAGGACCTTTGACTTATCTTCACACAGATGGAACTGGTAAAAGAAAGGAGCCAGGGGCTCTCCCAAGCCCATGTGACCCCTGAGGAACAGATGCTCA